ACGCGGGTTTGGTCCTTAAGCGGGCCATGTTTACGCAATTTCGATGCAAAAAGACGCGGGTCTGGTCCTTAAGCGGGCCATGTTTACGCAATTTCGACGCTAACAAACGTGGGTTTGGGCTTAAGCGGGCCATGGCTACGCAATTTGGTCCTTAAGCGGGCCATGTTTACGCAATTTCGATGCTAAAAGACGCGGGTTTGGGCTTAATTAAGCGGGCCATGTTTACGCAATTTCGATGCTCAAAGATGCGGTTTTTGCCCGAAAACGGCAAGCTTAAACGGGTCCGCGTTAAGAAGGCAGAGGAGGGGGGGTCGGTGGAGCGCTTTAAGGCCAGCCTTGAAAAAGGAAAGTTATTATGTGGACTTGGCTCCAGCGCTCTATGCGTGGCCTGCTTTGGGTTGCGCTATTTGCATCGAATAAGGAAAAGCCATGTTTACGCTATATTCGTGCCCAAACGCTCTGCGGACGCGCTCGTGCATTCACCAATGCGACAAATGTATGCAAATATAGTGGCTGTGTCATTAAGAATACAAAAACGCGCAGCGCCGCAGCGCGCTGCGAGCGTGCTGCGAGCGCGCTGCGAGCGCGCTGCAAGCGCGCTGCGGGCGCGCTACGAGCGCGCTGCGAGCGCGCTGCGCGGACGCGCTGTGGACGCGCTGCGGGCGCGCTGCGGACGCGCTGCGGACGCGCTCGTGCATTCACCAATGCCATTCAAATTGAAATATGACTGCTCTTTTATACTATACTGGCTGTGCGCATGCTTCATAGTCTTGTTTAGCCCAGCGCGCTGCGAACGCGCTGCAGACGCGCTGCGGGCGCGCTACGAGCGCGCTGCAAGCGCGCTGCGCGGACGCGCTGCGGACGCGCTGCGGGCGCGCTGCGGACGCGCTGCGGACGCGCTCGTGCATTCACCAAGGCCATTCAAATTGAAATATGACTGCTCTTTTATACACACTACTGGCTGTGTGCATGCTTCATAGTCTTGTTTAGCCCAGCGCGCTGCGAACGCGCTGCAGACGCGCTGCGGACGCGCAGCGGACGCGCTGCGGACGCGCTCGTGCATTCACCAATGCCATCAAACTATATATGACTGCTTCGCAAATACGGGCTGTTAAAAAGTATTGGCTGTGTCCTTCAATACGTTACTATAGTGTCTTGTTTAGCCCAGCGCGCTGCGAACGCACTCGCGCATTTACCAATGCCATCAAACTATGACTGCTTTGCAAAAACGGACTGTAAAATACTGGCCATGTCCTTCAATAAATATAGTCTTGTTGAGCCCAGCGCGCTGCGAACGCGCTGCAGGCGCGCTGCGGACGCGGTGGCCATCACCTAGATTTAGTTTCTCGAAAAGCAGCCCGTGAGGAGGTATGGCGCTAGCAGTGAAATAGTTGGCTATACAATTAATGGGCATCACGGCATCAACCAAACTTTTCTACCTTTGTGGAGGATATGTCTGGCTGTAGGTTGTGTTACATGTATACAAAAGCGCGTTTTTCTACCTTTGTGCCCTTTACATGCCTATGTCATTGTGTGCAACCCTGATTACTATATGTTTTTTCAATCAAAGAACAATTGCTCTTTCTTCAAGAACCGTGAGCGCTGACCTTTAGCACGTTGCTCATATACACATACGTCATAATGTAGTTACTGGTAGTTTGATAGGTTGGATTGTGTTTCTGTACTGTTATTGTTTCACATGTTTGACACAAGAGTTGTTTTTGTGTTCTTGCATCAATATCACCGCATCGTCGTTGGATGTGGCCTCATCAAATTTCTTACAAAATGCGCCATTCTCAATACGGGCACCCGTAACCTGTATGTGTATATATATATATATGTAGAGATAGATAGATAGATAGATAGATAGACAGACAGAGAGATAGATAGATCTTCCTGAAGGCAAAACCTTCTGGCTAGAAGCAACACCACGGTTCCGTTTTGATGAAGAAAGAGAGAGACGGGGAGAGAGAGAGAGAGAGAGAGAAAGAGCGCCAAGAAGAGTGGGTTGATAGGTTACCAAATGGAGTTAGCAAAACTCTATGCTCCATTTCAGTGAAATGCAGCGATATGCGGCGATTCCACCCCCCACATGCCTATTTGGCAACCTATCCAGCATGAAATCTGTCCACATATAATATGAATATTATTGTGTACATTACAGTATAAGTATACTTCTATTACTTCTGTAAACAATCACCTCAACTGATGCTGTGCTTCACCTTGTGAAGTTCGAGTCAAGACGACTCCTATGGTGCTTTGCACCAAGAGGTCGCCGCAATGTGAGACGCAACACTCTCAGCTACGATGGGCCTGGTAACGGCAGATTGCAATGCTCTGCACATGTTGGACAAAATTGCTAGCTTCATGCCATGCCATACTATAGAGCTCTTATGCACGTAAGCCTTCAATGACCAGTTACATCTTTCAACTCCAGAAACTTCGGGCAAAGTCAGCATGCTATGATATGATATGATATGGGTAATATGGGTGTGTATTGAAACAGGGAGATGGGAGACCGTCTAAAGACCCCCTGGAAGAAGGAAAATAGACTAAAGCCCATTTGGTTGGGTGATCCCTATTAAAATACACTCCCATATAACTATACGCGACAACCCCCTACAAGGGTTCAGCCACGCCATTGACTCGACATCTTTCACTCCAGTGATTATAGAAGGATGGTTGTGTTTCTGCTCATCTTTCCCAAATGCAGACCAGTCACCGTCATCACTCCGGCTGTGCCAGCGGGGCAAGTCCAATGGCTTCCATGGTGTAGCCTCGGTCAACAAATTGTCACTGAAATACACCAAGGGTGTGCTAAATAAGGGTAGGTAGGACACTTATATATATATATAGTTTCGCAGTGTCCAATCAGAATAAGGAAGCACAACGAAGCTTCATAGTTTCTTGCAGAAACTAAAATTACAAAGAAATGTCACATTGACATTGCTTGTACTTGGCTTGGCTACTCTCTTCGCCAGTCCCTCACGTGCCATCAACTGGGGCACCGACAAGAGGCGGTAGTGGTTGCACCGTCAAAAGAGCCACTGAACATGTGATACGTGCCCTGGTTTCTCGTCCAGTTCTTCTGGCGCCTTGCACAGTTGGATGATGTTATATTTCAACGCGCAAAAGGTGATTCAATTTGGCTCCACCACCAGAATCGTCAAATAACTTGCTCGAACAATACCCCAAATCTGGCAAGGCACATAATATTGATGCTGTCCTGCACAGCGCGCAGAAGTTGAAAAAGGTGCAGTGAGGAGTAGGGTAGACACCACGGGCGTTGCCGGGCCTGTGCTACTTACATGTTAAGCGTCTTTGATCTTCTCTGATTTTTTGAATCTGATTATGTAAACGCCTTACACAAGTGGCATGTACACCCAAACCCAAACCGAAACTTACTGGAATAAGCATCTGTTCTGTTCGCTTTGTGTGTTTTGCAAATGTATATTTATATATATACAACAGAGATAGTGTATATGTGTGTATGTATGAATATATATATATATAACAGTATCCGCCGACACCTGCTTAGCCCAAGCTAGCGGCGCCTGGGACACCGGGTGGAACCTTCACCTTCTGGCCGTGGCCTTCCCTGCCACGCCTGTGGCCCTGGCCTGGCCAAGTTTTTTAGCGGCGTTCGACGCTGCTGCTGGGACCTTCTCCTCTGGCCGTGGCTTTTGCCAATTTGTTTTTAAAGTGGGTTTTTGCCATCCGGGCCGCCATCCGGGCCGGGTTCGGGGCGCAGTGTGCTGAGTGGGAAGGTTGGACTAGTCCGTTGCACCTGGTAGGTTGACCATGTCATCGATTCCTTAATCCGGGTGGTTGACCCGGGGTCAATGTAGGCATTTTTGTGTGTATATAATATATACCCAAATGTCTACCTTTTTGTTTGGCTAGCATGGTTTCTACCCAGTGTTGTCCTGTGTTTCTAATGCAATATAAGCAGAACGGCTGACCAATGCACACAAATAAGATATAATTATATAAGGGCATATGTTTTCCAAGGTCCAAGGTTGGGAAATTGGAGAACAAAGATACAAACAGATGAGCGCCCATGGATAATTCAATCAGATGTTTCCATGGTTGGGAAATTAGAGAACAAAAATACAGACAAATGAGAGCCCGTGGATAATTCAATCAGATGCGCAGACTGAGGAACATGGGGCACAGCACGCTAGAAGCTTTTTTTTTTATAGCAGCGAGCAGCTAGATGACCACCATCGGAAAGTGCTGGGCATGTAGTCGTGCACGAAGTCTCCGGTACACGACCACAAGTCCTCTCCATGGTGCCAATACTCGTATTGACCAGAACGAATTTGCGCACGGATGGTTCCCATTCCCGTGAATTAGGACCTTTGGTAAGACGATCCTTCATAAACGTCCATCCTATCTATGTGTTGCGCGCCAGCCTTCACTTTGATCCACTTGCCCGTTGGAAGTTTGCGGTTGACTAGTAAGCGTACACAAGCAGGTTGTCGGATAGGCTCCACCAGCATGCCAACTGTCGTTGCTGGGTATCAAAAAATACGGGTCATAACCTCTCAGACTCCCAGAAACTACAGAAAATATACAATTACATGTTTCATATTGAAGTTACTAAAAAGCAACCCTTTGTTTAGACTAGTGGAGCACTTTTTGTCACATGTTTAAGAAACTATTTTTTTAATGTTACTTTTTCAATATGAAAAGAACAAAAACCTCTTCTACCTAAGCTCCAAAGACCAACCCAAAAGGCCATTCACGCATGTCCTGATTAATCATCTTGACAAAGTTAGGCTGCATCCATGTCCATTTGCCATTGACATTGACTTTGACATGCTTTTTCTTGTGGACCGCTGCTCCCACAAGATGCACGTTCTTGCCAACCTTCCTCCCTGGACACATCTCGCTTGTCATCTCCCTCAACATCATGCCACGCGCGGTCCTTGCCACCAAAGACGATTTTCTTCTCCTCTTCGACGACATGCTTCATCCAGATATCATTCAATCGCTTCTGCGTCATGCAAATGACCTTGTGGTTGACGCCCAAGCTAAGATGGCTCCAGGCCGATGTGTCGGAGCATGCTGGATGTTGCTCATAGTCATAGGTCATAGCGTTGCTCACAGCCTTTTTTGTCAGCGGCTGTCGGCTGCTGTGGCCTCGAATTTCTCCCTTTTCAATCTGGGAAAGTCGTTGGACGAGTCATGAAGATTTCCGCTTCAGGATGATGGGGTCCAACAGCCAAAGACAAAGTTGCCTGCTGGCCTTGCAACATGACTTGGCCAGCAATTGGAAAGCCAGCAGGCGACGCTATGGGCAAGAGGGAGGGCGGAAGCAAACGAAAAAGGTGCTTGACTGCGAAATAGCGGGCTTGGGAAAGACTTGGTCTTAGGCAAGTCTTAAGACCGATTAGGTTCCAAGATCTAAGCTCTAAGATTCTCCCAATACCTTTTGGTGAATCTTAGATGTTAGATCTTAGAACCTGAGAGTCTGAGAGGTCTTAAGACCTACTTAAGACTTAAGACCCAAGGATCCACGACATACCGGTATATGTACGCATGCATCTAGGTATGTGTGTTTATGTATGGATGTATGCATAGATGTATGTATGCATGTATGGTACTACCCCCCAAAGCAAACGATCAACAATGCGCATAAAACACCGCAAATACAAATAGAAACTAAAAGAGGTAGACATTTGGGGGGTGCCATATAATCATATATATATATATGTGGCCATGGAGTGTTTGGGTTCTGTTCTTTTTCGGCAGTCAAGCAGGTCCCCCTGTTTTGAGCCACTGCCTGGTAAGTCCATGGATGACAACTAGACAAAGGTACCTTGTTAAGCTGTGGCCCTACTCCGTCTTACTTAGTAGCAGTCATATCGGCCTACTATCGACAGCTTCCTTTCACCCAACGGGTGGTGTTTAGTCTCCACGGCCAAGTCCACTCCGTCGGAAAGCGATCGTGAGTGGGCTCTTTTGGAGTCTTTGTGTGTGGGCAAAGCGCCCAAACAATCAGTCTCTCGCGAGGTCTATATGGTGCTGCCGCAGCTGACTTCGGGAGGGACACACTCACCACATCATCACATTGATGGACAGCGCGTGGATACTGGGCACCCCTAACCTAAGTACCCCTTTGGCGCTGCTGGTATGGCTCTATTTCTTTGAGGAGATTTCTCAATTCACTTAGATTATGTGGCGGCGGGCCACCTCAAAAGAATGACGATGGTTGGTCTGTTTCGGCTTGAAGCTGGTCTTGGAAGCACCTGAAATCACCAAAACCTGCCAACTGAGTGGGAAAGATGTACGAGCAAGCCCCACAATGAGCACGAAGAATAGCATGAAAAGTTGCACGAGCAAACGCCAAAGTGAGCACGAAGAATCGCACGAAAAGTTGCATGCGTGAGCAAGCGCACAATTTGTTTGTCCCATGCAATTCTAGAGAAAAAGAGTGATTCCATTCCATGGCGCAGCTTGTTTAGAAAAAATTGTGTAGTAAACCCTTCAAATGACCGTTACAGTTGTAGGACACAAGCTATACCCTAGCCTTCAAGGATCATTCAAACAATTACACGAATGGTTTTGTAATGGTTTTGTAGTCTACATACATAGGGGGTCTGCGGCACCTGGCCATCTGCCCATTCTATCCGGCGATGCCGTATGGTGTAGCTTATCCCCCCCTTACCGGTGTTTTGTGAGATCGAGCTTTAAAAAAATTTGGTCTCGCTTGCATTTTGAGCCGTTTTTGCCTCTGGAGCGATTCCAAAAACGGCAAAACGAGAAATGTAGCAAAATCCTTGAGCCTGGTTGGGGGGGACCCAGGCAGGTCGAAAAAATCATCAAGAAAGCAGGCAAACTGTAAAAAAAGGACCTGGAAAGGAGCTGGATTTGGGCCTTACAGGGACAGCTTTGAAGCCTTCTTTCTGTTTGCGCCAAGGCGCAAAACACTGTAACTTACAGTGCTTTCACCGTCACAAATTTCGATCTAGAAACAAACATGTCGCAGCATTGCAAAAACTGCGTAAATATCGACGTTCTTTGGGGCGTAGTGCGCGAAATGCTGCAAATACCGTAAATACGGTGGTTTTGAGCACTCGATAGCTCAAAACCATCAGTATTTACGTGGTTTCCTGGCGTAAAAGCACCAAAAACTACGCGGATAGCGTGGCTTTGGTGCACTGTTGAAGCCTCGAGCCGCAAAACCCAGGGCTCAGGTGGATCCATAAAAAAACGTCAAAGACACAGTGAAAATTTTCAAAAATGGTCACTGTAAAGCTTATAGTCTCAAAACGTCTAGGAGAAAAAGCATTGAAGATGGATACGAGCTTAGAGGATAAATTTTGGTCGAGCATCATTAGCATCAGCAGAGTCTCAGCAGGAAAGATGCAAATCCTTTGGTGCATGACTAGGCGCAAAACACTGTAAATTACAATGTTTTTGCAACATGTATGTAGTTTATGAACAATGGTGCTCGTTTTCTGGTGATGCCAATGGTGCTCGACACTACTGCTACCTCAAAACTGGATCTCCTCTTAGCATACTTTCTTCTCTAGAGATAAAGCTTTATATAAAGTAGCAATGTTTGATCATGTTTCATGTGTTTTTGATGTGTTTTTTTGCAACTAAATACATACGTCCCGGTGATGTTAGAAATGTCGGTTTGCGGCCGACATTTCTAGCACCACCTGGGCCAGTGCCCCGAAGGGCGTCGCCGGTGGGCGAAGCCTGTCAGTTTTTGCAATTCAATATGTAGATGCAAGAAATACCAGGCCCCAAATCCCAAGAACAAGTAAGACCAGAATTCAGAATTCTAACAGTCCCTGCCTGACCTTGTGATTCATCTGCTCGGATACGATCTATATACATCGGTTGCGTATCCAAAAGACGCAAACAATCATGTTGTTGAACTTCGTTTTGCTCCTTCAGCTTCAGGATGCAACCACCGGGCTTGGGAATCTGTTCCGCTTCATAAAGGTCTTCATGCATCCAGCTTGGGACCTGGCATTTAAACTGAGCAGGGAAGTCCCTTGACTGGATGGATGAAGGACTAAGGCAGCATTTGCTAAGACTGCTTCTACCTCTCCAACTCATCCCAATTCCTCTCTGGGAATAGGTTGAGACCTAATCATTAATTAGGTGCTTCACAGGCAGCTGTGGCAAAAAGTTTCGCCAGCATAGAGCCTGATATTCAGAAGCATCGACAGGAAATTTCTCGATTGTGTCGAGCTTGGGCTCATCACAGGGATTGCCTGCAACATCGATTGCGAAGAAATTCTGGGTCCACACAATCACAATTCATCTTGAAGACAATGTGCCTAAGGTGCCCTGAGCCGTCTGATTTGTGTGTTGCTATATGCTGCTAACAATTCCAGACTCAGCTTGGCAACTACCACATGCAGGGCCTTTAGCATGCCAAGAGTGGTTGGAGTTTCGGACTTGCCTTTTTCAAAGTCCATCTGAGTCTGACAAAAACTCTGGTATCCTAGCCATATTCGAGCGCCTCTCTTGAAGTACCAGTTGTGTTCCTTCAGCATTGGCTCGAAGGCGTCACTCCTAAGAGAAAACTCTGAAAGCCTGTTGTTTCTTTTTTTAAGTGGGGGTAGGCTGCTAGAGGTGTAGCTAGGAAGGAGGGGTAGCTAGTAGAAGAGGTAGCTAGTACCTTACTTGAGCTACTAGGTAGGATGCAGGATAGCCTGAGGACGGGGGGAGCTTCCTTTAGAAGCGCTCGCACTATTCATTTGGCTCCTAGATGTTTAGGGAAGCTTAACTCAAAAGCATCGTTTACAAGCGTGTGCTTGATGCGTTTCTTCATGAGCTGTAGATTTCATTGTCCATGTGAACAACAACAACAAATACAACAAATGGCGCGGCAAGTGTTCTAAACTTATGGGCCTTGGCCTTCCAATCGCCTTCAGCAGCTTTGGCTCAGCAATCCTGCACATCCAAAGAGATTCGGACAGGATTGCTCATCAAACCAACTTCTTTATCTGTTTCCTGTGCCCTTTAGAGTTCTGAAAGGTAGTCACTCAAATGCGCTGCTTGGCCCTTGGCGTTTAATGCACACTTGTCCACCACATGCTTGACCACAAGACTGTGCCTGGCCAGCTTGATGACACCCCGCTTCTCTGCATCTGAGGCTGTCTTCATCCACTCAGGCACCAAATAGTGGTACCTCCAGCTCTGCTACTGGTTCAAGATCTTTGTTTGAAAAGGCCACGAGCTGAGGACCACATATGACTGAATGGACAAAGGTTCGTTCAGTTACAGTAGCACATCGGTGCACAAACTTAACTTGCCTCGGCTCCAGGATGTTGTACAGCGCTCGTTCACTTTGGAAGTCCATCTCTGTCGGAATCTTATACCCCGTTCGCATTGACATGGTTCTCCTGCATAGTTTGACATGTTTGATGTCTAAGTGGAATGAGTTCAGGCCGCATACAGGAAAAGGATTTGGGATGCACAAAGAACTTCCCAATCAGGCCCATGAGCTTGCTTTTTATGAGATGACTCCTCAAACAAAGAAAAACAATAGAACTATAGAAAGGAAAGCAACACAAGGCAAGAAACAAAGAAGCTACTAGTAGCAGATGCATCGCTACTAGGAGCAAAGGGCCTTCCTACTAGGAACAAGAAACTACTAGGAACAAGTGCATCGCTACTAGTAACAAGTGCCTTACTAGTAGTAACAAGAGCGCTACTAGGGGCTCCTGGCCTTACTACTAGGAACAAAACGCACACTATCTGCTTCTCGCCTCTTGGGTCCAAACAGGTACCGGCAGTTGAGCACTGTAGCGCTGCGGTGTGAAGAGAGCGGTTGAGTCAAAACGAAAGGCACCTGTTACTACTAGTAAGGCACTTGTTTCTACTAGCGAGGCACTTGTTACTACTAGCTTAAGTAGCTAGTTGATCAATTTTTATAGTGTTACTTGGCTTCCAGAGACACCTTGTCTGATTTTCCTATTTCGGCTTTCGACAAATGAGCTCAAAGGTGCCCCGCCTGTGCCATGAAACCGGGTATGACTCTGTGGAACCTTGGTACTCAAGAGCCTACGTGCTCTCCAAGCTTCTGACTTCGAATTCTGGCCAAATTCCTTGGGAGAGAACTTGGAACCCTGAATGTTCAAGGGCATCTTAGTGATGAGGCCAGTCCCTGGCGATCACGGCTGCAACTCTAGAACGAAGCAGGTTCAATTGAAATTGCGCCAAACCCTTGAAGACAAGCTGAAAATCCAAACTTGTGAACGACAAGGAGATGCAAAACTGTTGCCACACAGGTTCACCTCTCTTGCCGCTTTCAGCGCACCTCGTTCACCATTGCACAGGCACCGAAAATTCTCTGCAGTCTTGGGGCAAATGTTATCATAGAGCCTGGCAACACAGCATCCAGGTTCCCTTCAGCATCCTTCGGTCAGGTTTTCAAAGGTACAGAATCAAGTGCTTTTAAACAAGCCAGTCTCACTTGAATATCATGCGCCCAATATTCACGCCACTGATCTCGACCTGGCCCGCAGGATGCGGCAATTACCGAATCGGCTCCAAAAAACCCTCTCACTGCTACAATTCATTCGAACACTCATGCAAGATGCTGAGAAGGCCTCTTCCGGGGGTTTGAGCCGGTTGGAAAGATTGATGATTCGGGAGGTCGTCTTACCCAAAACGCTCGCCACACAGCGCCTACTCACCACTAGACGAGGCTGGAGAACGCAAGTGGCCAAGTAAGGTGGGCTGAATCTTCCACCACTCCCACTTGCGAGAATTGAGCAGTCGTTTGCAGATCAAAGGTGCATACATTCCTTTCTGGCTGGCAAATGCCCCTTAAAGGCTCCAAGTGTGACGAGACCAGCCATTTTGCCGGATGCTGTACAGTGGCGATAGAGTGCGCAAACCACCGCACAAACATGAATGTTTCAGAAGCCCAAAAACTTTGGGATAGGCTGCTGTTCAATTAATGAAGGAAAATGCAGCAACTGAACACCTGCTTCAAGCCTTTCCAATGACAGTTTCGTCATGCGGACAAGCTCTACAAATGATTTCTGGTGATGCGGGCAATCTGTTTTGATTGAAAATGACACCGCGCACAGTGCGCTGCCACCGACGCAGAGAAAGCCACTTCCGGCACACCCGTACTCATCGACGCACGTTTGCACATTGTAAGCGGGAGCACACGGCTGGCATCAGCCAAATGAATGCCTTCTCAAAATTCACGCTCGTAGAGAATGACATACTCGGGATAGACTTGTGACGAATCAAAGACGACAAACTCCCGGTAGGTGCCCACGGAGGCCTTCATCGAGTGTATCTGGATTTGTGTTGTCACAAGAAAGGCGGCATCAACAATGACTTAAACGTGACGTCCGAGTACAGCTACTGATCTGCCTGACCAATTTTGATGCTGCAATCAAATATATAATGTGAGCATTGTCCCATGTGATCTGAAGCCTTTGATTTTACTGCTATCTACAATAGACCAGATAGAATGGGTTGTTCTTTTCTTTTTTTTCCTTCAAAGGGTAGGCCGAGGTAGGGTAGCTAAGGCTGAGGTAGAAGAGGGGTAGCTAGTAGCTACGTGAGCACTACCTAGTGGACGCAGGATAGCTCACACTTCTTCAAGGAAGCCCACCTGAGGACGGGGAAGAACTTCCTTGAAAAAGCGCTCGAACTAATATTTGGTTCCTAGATTTTTAAGGAAACTCGCATCCATGCCTCTCGATCCCCCAGAACTGCTGAGGCTTGCTCTGTGGCAATCGCCTGCTGCACCAATGCTGGGTCCGGCCGCAACATCCGCAGCATCTGACCACAGCAAACGCGACACAAGAGCATGGCATAGACGCCCTCGTAAATTCCCTCACCTGCACTGGAGTACCTTGGTTCAGGAGGTTCAGCCAAACACTCAGTGAGGAGTTCAATATTTATCCAAGAGACTCATCTGCCTTGGAAGAGCACTCGGCAAAGTATGCTCCATTTCCTCGAAGCATTTGCACCACACAAGCCTCCCCCACTGACCAGGAAGGAAGGGGTGGTTAGGCTGAGCTCGCTAAATCCTTTAGCGACGATCTATTTGCAAGACACCAAGCAAAACGCAAAAAGTAAAAAAGTGAGAAAAGCCAGCAAGTCGAAAAGTTAAAAAATAAACGAAACGAAAGCACGCAGCGAGATTGTTCGACTTTTCGAGACTTTTCGACTTTTCGGCTTTTCGCGGAGGATCGACTACTTTTCGACTTTTCGCAAAAAGTTCAGAGAGCAAGTAGATCCAGCTCACACATTTAGCAACCGCGGCCCACGATATGAAACGAAGGTAGTCATTAAATACATACAGTCGACCAGTGAGCCGTCAATTTTGCAATACAAACACGTCCAAGCCAGTGATTTGCAGGAACTACACAGTACGGCATGTCCACCCAGGCCGACTCATGCCAGTAATGGTCCAAGTTGGTGAATATGAATCCGGTTGCAACCAGGTAGGCAATGTCAAACCGAAACACTAACAAGTATATGTTAGTGGTGTTGCCGCTACGTAGCTGGTGCATGAGGCAGGATCGCACTCTTCACACATGTTCAGATATGTTCAGATCTTTTCTCTTTGGGTAAGCAAGGCCATGCATCACCCATCCACCACCGATTACAGGGGCATTGCGAGCTATTGGGCTTATCACACCTTCTCAACCTATCGAGCCAAGTCCAGAGCAACTTTCCCAACTGGCCGAAGCTGCGGGGAAACAACCTCAACAAGTACTGAGAGATGGAAATGGACTGATAGCCACTTGTGGGGCGTGCACAGAGTGATCCTGCAGGGCCAATAGTAGCCCACAATGAAGCCCCCAATTACCCCATTCGCAATAGACAGCAATAAGTGGCAATAAGCATTAAAGCTCTTCTATCAAATGCCAGAAACCACTGGCAGTCAGATTCCACAATGATGCACTGTCCGGTTTGGGTAGTCATCAGTCATGTGTCATGTGTTCACTATCATTGTAGATGTAGATATTTCCAGCTTGCTCGCTTGCTCGCAGCCCAAATGTCCGAAAACATTGTAAAGCTGATTACAGAAATGGCCTGCCAGCAAGTTTGCTCGTTATTCCTCCGTTGTGGAAAGACATGATAAAACGACAAAGTCACTCACCAAGCTTCCAAACATGGTTCCAGCATGTGAGCCAGTCAAGTCCAGGCGGAAGCCGCTATCAGTGATGCCCAAGGCGCCATCGGGGCTGGTGCCGTGCATGAGATAAAACCTCGGTCCAAATAGCGTTTCAAGTGTCATGAAGTGTCGCTCTTTTGATAAATTTGGCCACCCTTTTGACATCTTTGCATATGATCTCAATCTGGAAAACCACAAACAGTGCACTGAAACTGGGTCGCTCATTCAGCGTGGCATCCAGGCGATGTACAAAGCCACCTAGCGGTTGGTGTGTGCAAACATCGCCTGCTTGGGCATCTGGTGAGTCCTAAGGATTGAATCCATCAAAATACGTCATGATAGGTCGGTTTCTGTCTGGATTGTTTCTATTTAACAAAATTATTTCACCCAATCTCTGGCAACTTGTGAAAAGACTTTGACCCTTGTCATGTCCAAACAGGCTTATAGAAGCACGAGCTTGCTTTACAAACTGGCAAATAGTTTGACATGAAAGGTGTTCTTGGAAAACGTCCACATTAATACACTCTGCTGACTTTGGGAAACAAGTCCCGTCCTGCCCAGCAGTGTAGTGTTCACTGATGGAAGTACACCGCGACCACTTTGCCCTTAACCTGGCAAGTCCTCAGCACATTGGCAAGTAGCCACCACGGCATGATGGAGGCAGGGCTCAAGGTAAAGGAACTCCGCTTTTGCTTGTCGGCTCGCTAATCAGCAAATGAGGCATTCGCTGATCTACAATATATTCTAGTTTGAAGCTGTTTGAAGTGCAAACCAGAAACTGAGGAGGTAGGAAGACCACATAGAGCTATCCTCGACCCGATGGCACTTCATTAGCCGAAGTCGTCGGGGCATCTTCCCCTGTCGATCTCTCGTGCTCCGAGTCCTGAAAGTATTATCCAACAGCACCTGGCCGCTGCTACCCCCTTTCTCACCATTGCATTCCTGTCACTTATATATCACTCAGTGAAGTCTGAAATCATTTAAGTTTATTGTGTCAGCACTACTTCACTTTCTGACAAAAAAGAATTGCCATAAACTGAAAAACCTCCGAACAATTGCACTAGTATTGTAGTATTATTGTACTGTGAGGCTACAAAGCCACGTCTTCGCCCCCCACCGGTGCTTACTCAATCGCCTAGGACCCTAGGAGTTTTTGCCTGGAAGAGCTCACGTGACTCTGCAGAGACGTCGCAGCGTTGCCGGAAATGCTCCTTTAGATCCTGCCCGGTTTGGGCGAAGACAAGAGATGTGATCGCAAAGGTGTTGTCTTGACAATCAGAGTGAAACTGAAGACAAGTATTGCTTTCTGACAGAATGTCTGCAAACCAGTCCGGCCAGCAACGGAAAGCGAGAAGCGAGCGTGCGCGGTCGCTACTTTTAAGTTGGTTTGCCTTGTTTTCGCCTCTTCTCAAGTAGGTTAGCCTTGATCCAGTGCGTTGTCTGCCCAACAGCGTAGTTTCATACTTTTGGGGTTGCCGTGTCAATTTTCCCAGGTGCTTTCGATTCTTTTCAAAAGGGTTTGCCTTGCTTGTGTCCATTCTCTGCTCTTTGTGTCTTCTTGTGGGCCTTGGTGTCAAACAATTCTCATCTTAAGCTGATTTGCATTGTTTCCGTCTCTTCTGTGCTCTTTGTGCCTTAGGTGCTTTCCATCTTTTTTTAATGGGTTACCCTTGGTTCTTTTTGTGAGAATTGTTGCTAAAAGAACTGGCTCTAGGCCCCAATGTGATTTTCGTGTTGTTGGCTTCGTATTTTTGGGTTTCCTGGTTGGTTTTCCTATGTGCTTTCCATGCCTTTTAAGTTGGCTTGCCTTGTTTTCGCCTCCCCTCAAGTAGGTTAGCCTTGATCCAGTGCGTTGTCTGCCCAAAAGCGTGGTTTCATACTTTTGGGGTTGCCGTGTCAATTTTCCAAGGTGCTTTCAATTTCAAAAGGGTTTGCCTTGCTTGTGTCCATTCTGTGCTCTTTGTGTCTTCTTGTGGGCCTTGGTGTCAAAAAATTTCATCTTAAGTTGATTTGCTTTGTTTCCGTCTCTTCTGTGCTCAAAGTGCCTTGGGTGCTTTCGATCCTTGTTAAATGGGTTACCCTTGGTTCTTGTCTTTGTGAGCCTTGTTGCTAAAAAACTGGCTCTAGGCCCCAATGTTTGTTGGCTTCGTATTTTTGGGTTTGCTGGTTGGTTTTCCTATGTACTTTCCGTGCCTTTTAAGTTGGCTTGCCTTGTTTTCGCCTCTTCTCAAGTAGGTTAGCCATGATCCAGTGCGTTGTCTGCCCAAAAGCGTGGTTTCATACTTTTGGGGTTGCCGTGTCAATTTTCCCAGGTGCTTTCCATTCTTTTCAAAAGGGTTTGCCTTGCTTGTGTCCATTCTGTGCT